AGAGAGAGAGAGAGAGAGAGAGAGAGAAGGGGAAACGATTAATTACAAATTGACTGACTTGATCCCTGACCCTGATCCTCATCTTCATCTTCAGACATGGTGCAGCCCACAGAGCGCCGAAGTGCTGATGGGGAGGGGGATGATGCTGGCGGTGGAGTTACTTCCGCCGGCCACAATGGCTGCCGCCCTGGCCGCCGCCATCGCCGCCGCCGCCTCGCTCATGTTGTTGTAGACCTGGACGAAGACCATGCCGAACATGGCCACGCCGAAGAGGATGATGAAGGCGCCGTAGAGGGCGAGCGCCGACCACACTAGCGTCCAGTGGCCGCTGCCCTCCAGCCGGCGCAGCATCCGCCGTTCATTCTTCAGCTTGCCGTAGTAGCCGTTCAGGTGGCGGCGGGCGAGGGAGACCATGCACATGCCCGGGAAGACGAAGACGTTGCAGGCGGCCAGCGAGCCTAGATTAAGAGAAGTTTTAGAGTTGAGCGCAACTTTCTTGTTATGTAAAGCAGTTTTGTGCTTATTTGCTGTTTGCTCGCACTTAGTGTGCTAAACTGTATTTCTAGCTAGCGCTGCGTTAATTTATCGTATTCTCAATGCAAACACACACTGCCGCCCCTTAGCTTTGCTTCTGCTACTGCTGCTTCTGCTGCTGTGCACTGACTCGTTAATAAGGCGACTAATGAATGCTGAGAGGCAGGCAAATTAGCAGCTGCAGATCCTGCTGCTGCTGCTGCTGCATAAAAAAGTGTCGCAGCTTTAGAGTGTTTATTTGCTCGGTCGTTAGAGCTGGGGAAGTACCAGCAGCACAGCTGAGTGTTCCGCTCGAAATGTGCTCAAGTAGTGTAAAATTATTTAAACTTTAGACTCCTGCTGATGGTAAGCTGCTGCTGCTGGCTCTCATTAATGCGCCCCTGTTTAGTGCTGCTGCTGCTGCTGTTGATTTATCGATTCAGACAGAAAATTCTGTAGGCAGCCTCATTTTCAATGAAGTGTAAATGGGGAGAGAGGGAATTGAGTGAAAATTCTAGTGCTGTCCACCACTGGTTCTCTTGTGTGTTTCCAGCAGCTAAGAATGCGTCTCTTTTTTCACATCTGGTGACAATGAATGGTCGCAGTGTCGCCTGGCCAAAAACTCGATTTGGCACTTTGATTAATGAGCAAGGGGGGGGGAGATGGAAGCTAGGGTAGTCGTGTTGCTATTTTCCAATAGATCTTACTGTAAAGAGAAGGGCAACACGGACCTTGTCTAAAGACGAGCAGCAGCAGCAGCTTTTGCAGCAGTTCATCTCATCTTCCTGACTAGCTAATTGGCCACAGACGCTCGTCTCTGCTCTTCTGCTACCTACTCTCCAACGAGTGAGCAAGTTCACTCACACTCAAAAAATGTCGATCATTTCAGCGGCGGTGATGACAGCTCTAGCTAGCTAGCTCAAGTGAAATAGTAGGAAAACAGGCAAGCAGACGTTAATTGAGTGCTCGCTCGCTCGCCCGTCAATCGACGACGCGTGCCAATCACTTTGGCTGGCTGGCAAAGGCAGTGCCTAGTAGTGGCAGCCCACTTTTCGATCCATCGATCAGAGAGTGATCAGAGAGAGATGTGGTGGGCGACAGGAGAGAGAGAGAGAGAGGTGCTAGGCTAACAGTGTTTCCCTCACTACTAAAAACATGATCAGCTCGGATCGGATCAGATCAAATCGACCGATCTGACCGACCGACCGACCCTCGCCTACACGCGCATCTGTTCGCTTGGCTTGGTTTGTTGTTGTGTTTGCAGCTCTGCGCCTACACACACACTAGCTAGCCCGTAATCTTTAGTTTACTTACCGAGCATCTCAATGGCGACGGTGATGTTGGGCGTGACAATGGCGAGCATCAGCACGGCGGCGTTCCAGAAGGTGGTGATCACCAGACGACGCCAGCGCTCGCCGCGAATGAAGGCCTCCGCGGAGAGCTGCCGCCACTCGGCGTACAGGCCGTCAAAGGCGCCACTAGAGGCAGGTATTAATTGATAATTGACGTGTGGTGGTGGTGGTGGTGGTGGTGATGGTTGGGAGAAGGTAGAGGGGAAAAGGAAGAGAGAAAGAGAAACAAGGCGAGGTTAGAGGTCAGTGGCAAAGCAAACATTAGCCGCAATGGGTGCGAGTGCCAGTGCTTTGTTTGCAGCAGCAGCAGCTATCATCACCGATCGAAAGGTCGCGCACAGGTGACTGACTGACTGACTGACTGACTACAGACTGTGCTAGGTGCCTGCAATTAGCCTGTCCACTGCTGCTGCTGCTCGCTTGCACCCTCAATTACATATGCGGCTGAAGGTAATGCTAATGGTGGTGGTGGTGGTGGTGGTCACATTCCACCGCCAGTGTTGTTATCTGCCAGGCAGACGAGAGACACCATTAGAGAACTCCGGATTCGAGAAAGCATTGAGCTTGGCTGCTGCTGCTGCTGCTGCTGCTGCTGCTGCTGCTGCAGGTGTCAAAAGTCAGTGCCTCTCACTAATGGTGACGCCGCAGATTCTTTCTGCCGCCTTTTTGCCGCTTTGGGTAGTCAAACTTGGCAAAGTTCTGATCACGTCTTGTTTGCATGCACAGACGGAATAAAGAGAGAGGGGAAAGTGCAGTTTAGCTTTAGTTTGTTGTGCTTACCGGCCGCAGAACATTAGTGGAGGGTAGGTGGTGACCATTTTGATGATCAGTGCGATTATGCCTGGAAAAAGAGAGGGAAAGAGAAAAAGGAAAAGAAGGGAATTAGTGCTGAAGTTGGCAGACTTTCGGGCATTGTGATCCCCATCTTTGTAATTCTAAGGCTAAAGTGACTGAAGTGCTAAAGTGCTGAATGGAAGAAGCAAGTCAGATTGGCGGATGTGAGATGTCTAAAGAACAGGAAGTGAACAATGGCATTGTTCACATTGAGTCAGCAGATTTTTCGCCGGGCAACTCTTTTCTGAAACTCGGAAGTGAGCCGAAAGCTTTCTTTTGTCTTTCCTAAGTGCCTTTTCCTGTTTTTCTGTTTTGATTTTTACCATCTTTTTGTTTGGTAGTATTTTCTGCCTTTTCAAATTATTTTAAACTTTGCTCCTACCTGAAGTGACCACCGGATCGCGTGCGTCGTACATCATGATAATGTCGGCGATGACCTTGCTGCCAAAGGTGAGGTACCCGTAGGTGCCGCCCATGGTGTAGATGAGAAAGAGGAGGGTCAGCGAGGCGGCCGTCGACTTGATGAAGTTCTTGGAGCGCGGCTTGGCCATGCTCGAGTAGATGGGCAGGACAATCTCGTGCGACTGGTAGGCGAAGAAGATCACCGGCAGACTGGTGGCCACCTCGATCACACTTGAAGGTCTGAAGAGGATTAAAAAAGAGTTTAGATAAGAGGAGTTCCGAAAAGAGGAGTTCATTTAACTTACTGCGTCTTGATGACGCCGGGCGTCACCTCCAGGGCAAAGTACTCGTAGACGTTGAGAAAGACGACGTAGATCATGGCGAAGATGCCGACGGTGCTGACGTAGCGCAGAAAGTCCAGCCGCTTAAAGTAGCNGCTCGAGTAGATGGGCAGGACAATCTCGTGCGACTGGTAGGCGAAGAAGATCACCGGCAGACTGGTGGCCACCTCGATCACACTTGAAGGTCTGAAGAGGAGAAAGGAAAGGAGTTTAGAAAAGAGGAGTTTCGAAAAGAGGAGGTCATCAAACTGCGTCTTACTGCGTCTTGATGACGCCGGGCGTCACCTCCAGGGCAAAGTACTCGTAGACGTTGAGAAAGACGACGTAGATCATGGCGAAGATGCCGACGGTGCTGACGTAGCGCAGAAAGTCGAGCCGCTTAAAGTAGCAGATGGGCCAGATGAAGCAGACGGCGACGACGGGGATGACGAAGTTGCGACTGTACCAGAGGGTGGTGCAGAAGTCGGGGCCGATGAAGGTGCCGAAGAGGCGGTCAAACTGGTCGCCGATTATGACCAGAAAGGTGACGTTGATGCCGAAGCAGGTGCACATGATGCTGGCGGCGGCCAGTTGCTGCGCCCGGTTGCCGCACATTGAGCGGAGCACGTCGTGGTAGGTTGTGTCCCGGTGGAGGTCGGCGCAGAAGACGAGGGCCAGCATGGTGCTCGCCATCATCAGCAGGACGATCTGGGAGAAAGGGAGGGAGTTTTAGGAGTTTTTTTGGGAAATTGAGGACTTTAGTAAGACTTACCGCCTGGAGGACGGTGGAGATCCAGATGCCGCCCAGGCGGTCATAGGCCGCCGGGTAGTTGAGAATGCCGGCGCCGAGGGCGGTGTTGACGAGAAGGAAGACGCCCACCTTCCAGCTGCTTGCTATAAGGAGAAAGTGTTTAAGTGATTAGAGTTTGAGTAACAAATTGACAATCAATTGCTAATGAAATCTCTCTCTCTTTTCTCTTTCTCTCATTTTCTCCCTAGAATCTCAACTTCTTGTGAGCCATTATCATCATGATCACGCCCCTCTTTCGCCTGACCCAGGACGAGCAGTACCTGTAC